GATACCTGGTGGGAGACACTTAGCCCGGTGCCCAGCACCGGGGAGCTACCTAATGGGAGCTGTTGTGCACGCTTCGGCCTGGCTGGGCTTCGTGGCTCTGAGGCTGCAGTACGCCTGGGCAGCGACATGCCCACACTGGGAACTCGGCCCACACTGGGAACTCGGCCCCGACAGCTGCACTCCTGTAAACCCCAATAGCACCTCTCCGGAACTCCTGCTGTGAAGGGAGAAATGGAAGCATGGAGCAGTCGAGAAGCACCCCTAAAGCAAGTATGTGTAGGGGAGGATTTGCACTGGGCCCAGTCACTGGGCTGCTGACTCTGGGTGGTGGAGGGACTGGAGCCAGGGGCTCACTGCCAAGAGGGGGCAGCAGGGCAGCGCTGCCCAGAGCACTCCTGCCTGAAAGGCAGCAAGGAGCCAGGCCAGCCCAGGAGACCCCAGGTGCCTCCACACTCTGTGCAGGCTCTAAGCCCTACCTGGGGCATCAGCCAGTGGCACCCCAATTCGGGTGGCCCAGGCCTGGGGACCTCCCTGTTGGCCTCGGCCGCTCCAGCACCCCCCTAGTTGGGCCCCACTTCCTCGTCTGTAAAACGATGTTGCTAATCTCTTGCACTCCACTTAGTTGTGAAATACTCACCATCCAGGCTCAGTAAGGTGGCGCCTGCCTTGGGGGACAGGAGAATCCCCAGAGAGCTAGGGAGACCCAGAAGCAGTGGGACCTGGACCCCTTCCCAGTGAGGGTCCTGAGAAAGCAACCAAAATTCAGACAACAAAACATTTTCCAGGGTGCCAGCAGCCCCCCAGAGCTCCTTGTGCATGAGGCAGTTGTGGAACAGTGACCACATGGCCCAGAGGCCACAGACCACAGAAGGGACTTTCGCCAGCCCCTCAAAATGCCTAGAGACCCACAAGCTGCAGGGGCAATTGGGTGAGCCCTTGGTACCCAAAACAGAGGAAGGGTCTCACCTCAGAGACCTCAGGACGGGGCGCAAGGAGCAGGCAGTGGGAAGGGAAGACGTGGGACAGAACCAGAGGGCCTGAAGCTAACCCAAGACCATGACGGGCACCACGGGCAGTGCCAGGGTTCAGGAGCTCTGCAAGTCCTATGAGGAAGTAGCAGAATAGCAAAAGAAGAGACAAAAGCAAACAAAAAGGCAAAAGCAAAACTTATAAAGTTTAAATACTGACAAGACTTTGTCGAGTCACGAACTGAACTCAAACAGGCATCTTTTTTTTTTTAAAGATTTATTTATTTATGCATGTAAGAGCTGGGGTACAGGCCAGAGATGCGGAGGGTGAGAGGATCCACCAGAGACAGAGTGGGGAACAGAACAGTCAGGTCTACTGAAATACACTACTGAGGGGAGCAGCAGGCGAGTCAGGAGAGGTCTGCTGCGCCATGTGGGCTGCTCTCTGACCGGGGATCAAACTCGTGCTGCAGAGGCTGCGGGTTGCTTCATAGTGCGGTGTTTAACTCCTTGCGCCACCAGGGAGGCCCCCAAACAGGCATCTTTGAATGACTTTTAATGTGGAATGCAGGCAAATGCTGACATGTGTGGAAGGGAGTTAGTCTGTGAAATTTGAAGTGTCAGGGACCTGCCTACAGTCTTCAAGTGTGCATCCCCAAAACTGATATGCATCCTGGGGAAAGGAGGGCCCCTAAATGGATTTGAAATTCCTTTCCTGCTATGAGGGGGGAATGAGACAGCACAAGAGAAATTAAAGTCAGAGAGAATGAGCCTTGCACGTGTTCATTTGTAAACAAAGCACCTGAGGCCCCAAATGCCACAATGCTAGACTGTCAGCAGCCTCCTCATCCTGGAGGGCGGGCAGGACTCACCCCAGTCTCAGATGTTCCAACTGTGGGATTCACCAGCCTCCCCTCCCTTCACACCTCCAGAGTGGAGACCCATCACTCCTTCTTCCTCAGGACCTAGGTTAGCTCATCCTCGTGCCTTTAAAGAATAAAGCCCCCAGGGCCTCCCTGGTGGCGCAAGGGGTTAAGACGAAGCCTGTGGAGCTGTCTGCAGCCTCTGCAGGATGAGTTCGATCCCCAGCCAGGGAGCAACCCACATGACGCAGCAGACCTCTCCTGTCTCACCCGCTGCTCCCCTCAGCAGTGTATTTCAGTCAGTCTGCCTGTTCTGCTCCCCACTCTGTCTCTGGCGAATCCTCTCACCCCCCACACCTCTGGCCTGTAGCCCAGCTCTTGTATGCATAAATAAATAAATCTTTTTTTTTTAAAGATTTATTTATTTATTTATACAAGCACTGGGTACAGTCAGAAGCGCGGGAGGGTGAGAGAATTCACCAGAGCCAGAGCAGGGAGCAGAGCAGGCAGAAGGACCGAAGTACACTGCTGAGGGGAGCAGCGGGCGGCAGGAGAGGTCTGCGCGCCATGTGGGACCCTCTGGTGGCCAGGGAGCAGCCGGGGATCGAACCGGCTCTGCAGAGGCTGCGGGCAGCTTCGCAACCCAGCGCTCAACCGCTGCGCCACCGGGGAGGCCCTAAATAAATAAATCTTAAAAAAAAAAAAAAAAAAGAATAAAGCCCCAAGGTGGGTTCCAGTCCAGTTCCAGCCTCACTGCGATCCTGGGGGTCCCTCTGGTCAAGTCTCAGCCTCGTCTGTGGAATGGAATCACGGCGCGTACCAGGGCTGCAGTGCGGACCAACGAGCCCCAGCTGTGCGACTGCTTTTTTAAACAGACTGAATTGCACTGGGGTTTAACTAACAAAACAAAACCAAAGGAAAAGAGCAACTACGTTGAACCCCAGAGCTGGGTTTCACAATCCTCCCTTCTGTGTCTGGGGGAGGTGAATTTTTTTCTTTTATTTGTCTCCAGGGTCTTTCCGAAGGGCTCACCGTCTCCTCTGCCCCAGCCCGCCGAGAGAGGTGCTGCAGCCTAACTGGTGGGCAAGCAGGTTGGGGTGGGTGGGGGAGCCTAGCGGGCTTGGCTCCTGGAGGCCTGAGTCAGCGGGCAGGCAGGCAGGGCGGGCCCAGTCCTTGCATGCTTGGGGAGGAGATGGTGCAGGAATGTTCCTCCCGCCCAGGCCTGGGCCCTGCCCGCCGCATCCTGGCTCCTGCTCACAGGGACGCTGCAGCTTCAGCTCTGACTCCAGAGCTTTGTTTCGGTGGGTTCAGTCAGGGGCCTTGAGGCATCCTGGCCCTGAGGAACTGGCCCAGGGGTGGGCAAGGCCAGGCCACAGAGACAACTGGGAGCTGGGCTCCAGCCCTGAAGCTCCCCTCACCCCACTGGCTGAGGCAGTCAGTTGCCACCCCTCAGTTCCCCTGAGGACACCCAAATTCCCCATGTGTGCAATCAGGAATTGAACTCAGATGATCTCACCTGGTTCCGCCAGGCACAACTGTGTGTGGTGCCTTTACTGTGTGCATGTCTGACTTTGTAGACACGTGTGTCTACGCGTGCGTCGCTGAGTGAGGTTCTGTCTGTGCATGACAACACAGCTGAGACCAGCACTGTGACTATGACAAGAGTGGCTGTGGCTGTGAATGTATGGCAGTGTGGCACTGTGGCTGGGAATTAACTGGGATCCTGTAAGCATGCATGTATGTGTGCAAGGGGGGGGTGGGGGCTACGTGCCCGCAGACAGGTTGTATGGTTGTATGGTTGGGTTGGGCGACTGCTGTCTGTGACCATGTGGAAGACTGTGTGGCGTTGTCGCAGGAGGGAGGGTATTCAGCTGGGTCTGGGACTACCTGTCTCCCCTAGGCCTGGCTCTGTGGTGCAACAGATGGAACCCAGTGGTTTGGTGCCCTCTGGACCCCTGCATCTCCTATGAGTCGAATCCCAGATGCAGAATCTGAGGGCTACCGTCATCCAACCCTGATATGTAGCCACAAAGCAGTCTCCTTTCGTGGGCTGGGCCGGGACTGGGGATCAGGGTCCTGGGAGCTGCCCGAGGCAGAAAGAGAGGCCTTGTTTTCCAACACCACCACCACCCCCAGAGCAAAGTGAGGGAGGGATCTGGAGGCAGCTGGACCCGGCTCAGACTGGAACATCTGCCTGGCATGTGACTGTGCCAGACAGCAGGTCCTGCCACCACCAGAACACCCCCCCCCCCCCTCCAGCCCTAGTCCCCTGCTGGGCTCTGACCAGGCCAGCCCGTCAAATTGCCCCAACCTCCCAAGCCACAGAGAGACAGAAAGAAGGCAGAGAGGGCTGTGACGTCCTCGTTTCCACCACATGTACACCCATCCCGGCCTACAGACCTCAGGCTACCTGGAGGAAGCCCAGCTGAGCCCAGGACTCCACCTTCTGAGTCTTCTCACAGGTTCAAGCCAGTCCTGAGAAAAGCATTAGGCTGATTCCTTCACCCTAAGGAGGGGAAGCATAAGAGGTGGCCCCATCTCAAAAAAGGGACAGAGAGCGATGCCATTCCCAGGAAGGACACAAGCACAGGGGACTTTCCAGGCTCTGTGGGTTGAGACAAGCATCAACCCCCTTCCCGCCCAGCCCCCCCACCCCACCAAGCCGCCAAGCCTCAGGAAAGAGATCCCTACCCCGCTCCACTCCCAGGGTCCATGTACCCTCTGCAGAAAGCAGCTGGAGGTCAAAGTTGAAAAGAGGTTAAGGGCGGAAGGTCCTTGGATGGTTTGGAAAATGAAGGAAGGAGAGCAGGGAGGGGAAAATTCCACAGAAAGTCCCAAATCTGACCTAATTTTGACCAAGGGCCAGGGGCCCATTCCAGAAGTTCCTCTGAGGACGCTCTGCCCTGAATGGGGAGCCTTTGCTGCCCCTTCCCCCACCTCACAGCCACGGCCCCCTCTCCTGCAGACTGCTGACCGTGGCACCCCCAAGGGCATGGCCACACAGCAGGGCTGGGCTCCCAGAGCTTGGAGGCCCTCCCCTCCACTATCTCAAGATGGGGCTTTCTTGGCAGCAAGGCCAGGACGCACCTCCCCAGGACCTGAACCCCATCAATTAGGCCCTCCTGGACCACCGCCTCCCGTCACCGCCTCATGCCCCCACCACGGCCCTCCAACACACCCCAGACACCACCCATTTGAGAGATGAAGCATGAGACCTGCAAAGGGTTTGGGGTTCATGGCCACAGCCTCTCCAGTTAGGACCTCCTACCAGCACCTCCCTCCCAGCAGGTTCTGGGGTCAATTTTGTGCCCACCATGACCTCAGGATAGGGTCCAATAGCTCCGGGATGATTAGGGACCTGCTCTCCCCCACCCTCACCCTACAGGACCCAAACAAAAAAAGCCATGCTTTGTTGCCTTAACTGTAAAAGGTTTATTAAGAAAACAAGAAAGAAAAAAGATTCAAGAAGCAGCAGCCAGGAGCAGCCAGGAGCAGCCATGACCCTCCTGGGGAGCCAGCAGTGGCACCTGTCAATCCCCCCAACCTGCTGCGGGACCGCATCCTGGCCTGGGGTGTAAACATGGGTGGGAGGCAGCGCCACTGGACAGGAGCGGTGCTTGCATCACAGTGAGGCGGCTGTGGTCAGGTGGGGCCAGGATCCCTGTCTTTCTTACTTGGGGGTTCCCACTAGGCAACAGGCAGGATCCCAGGTTCCCTGGGAGTCTGGAGTCAGAGCCTGCCTGGAGTGCAGGGAGCTATTTCTAGTGAACTCAGATATCTGGTAACTAGGGGGATGGAGGTGAGGGGGGAGGGGTGTAGAGGGGCTTCCCTCCAGGAAGATCCCAGGGCATGGCTTGTCTCAGCACCTAGCGCCCCCAAGAAAAGCTGCATAGTACCCTCGTTGGCTCAGCCAGCTGCAGAAGGGAGTCAGAGGGAAGTGACCCACAGCCCCTCCTGCAGGGAGCAGGGTGGGGCAGGGACCTGGGAGCAAGGCAGCCCCCTCCTCCTGTCCAGCAGGCCAGAATCCCATGGAGGGGACACCAAACCTGCTTGGGAAAGGGAGAGAAAAGGGGGTGTTCGCATGCCTCCACACTCCTGCAGGCACTCTCCTCTCTTCTACTGTCCTCATCCTTCAAGACACCTGTCATGTCACTTCCCTGACAGGCTGACAGAACAGTCCCTTCTGTCAACTTCTAGGAACCCCGTGGTTAGCATCATCACTCTGCATTGCCTTTGTCTGTTTCTGCGTCTGACCCTACTTAGCCTAGGGACGCCATAAGGGCAGGCGTGTGGCAGCGTCAGGTGCCCCAGCAGGCCCCTGTGTCTGCTGAGTGAATGAGGGGGCGGTGGCCAGGTGAGCCAGACTGTGGGCTTAGGACAGGCTAAGAGCCTGGCCAGGCTTCAAGCAACCGACAGGAAGCCCATGCCCAGGCCTGCAGGGTTCCCGGCCCCGTTCTCACCCCTGCTGTCCCCCCACCTCTAGGGGGGTAGGGGACTTCCCCAGGGGTACCCATAACTCCTGCACAGCTCTTCTCCCAGGAGGAGGGACAGGCGGCTTCCCTCGCCCACGCCTACCCCCCAGTCACTGCTGGTGTGGGGCGGCGGCACTGCAGCCACCAGCCCAGGGTGGGGAAGGGCCTGGCGCGTGTGGTCAGAGGTTGTCATACATGCGCAGTGTCTTCTCCAGCTGCTGGCCCACCCGCTGGTAGAAGAGGATCTGCTGGCGCAGGTAGTTCTGCATCATGTGCTTGAAATCGAGCTCGCGGCGCTGGTGGAAGTGGTTCATCTCGGCCTGCAGGGCGAAGCCCACGACGCGGCAGCGCCGACGAATACCATCTGCCTCGTCCTGCACCATCCGGCCCTCGTCGCTCATGCGCTGGCTCTCCTTCACCTTGGCGAAGGCGCCTGGCACAGGCAGAATGGAGGACAGGGGAGTCAGGGGTCTGGTCTCCCCACGTGCTCCCTAAACCCTCTGTGGTCCCTCAAGAGCAAACAACACCCAGGGACTCCCTGGTGGCACAAGGGGTTAAGATGCAGCCTGTGAAGCTGTCCACAGCCTCTGCAGCACGAGTTCGAACCCCCAGCCGGCCAGGGAGCTACCCACATGGTGCAGCAGACCTCTCCTGACTCCGCTGCTCCCCTCAGCAGTGTACTTCCATTAAACTGCCTGTTCTGTTCCCCACTCTGTCTCTGATGAATCCTCTCACACACACCCCCCCCCCATCTCTGGCCTGTACCCCTGCTCTTATATGCATAAATAAATAAATCTTTAAAAAAAAAAAAAAGAACAGACAAAACCTTCACCAGCTCCACTCAGACCTCACTCCTGGACTCCAAACCCGGGGTCCGGCCACCTGGATGTCTCCACCAGGACATCCCCAAAACCCTCATCTTCAGCATATTCTTAACCAAATGTACCACCTCTCCATAACTGGGGCACCAGCAGCAGCCCCCACGGGACCAGGGACAGCCCTGCAAGCTTTGCTTACTTCCAGGACAGGGCCCTTGCTGCCTACCACACACCTCCTTATCTCTCATGTTGGCTCCACATCACCTCCAGGAAGCCTTTCCTGCATGCCCCCTCTTTGCACTAGGTGTCTCCTGTGCTCCCAAGTGCCCCGGGCTCCCCTCTACCAGAGCTCCCACCACCCTAAAGTTCCTCTGACTGCCTCCCTCAGGGCTGGGAGTGCAGTATCTTCAGAACAAGGCCTGGCCTACAGCAGCTTGTGGGAAGTGCGGAGCTGCAGAGCTGATTCAACGTTTGCCCTAATAGACTACTAAAACACACCCCCCCATGGGGCTCACCCCCTCAGTCCCAACCTCTGAGGGGTCTCCAAAGAAGAGACCCTGAAGAGCAGCTGAGTTGGGCCCATAGTTCCAAGTCTCCTCTAGTTCCCTGGCGACTGCAGATGGAGGCTACCTGGCCCGGGAGGCTCCCTAGGCCCCCAGGATGGCAGCTATACCCATTCCACACTCAGCCCGCATCCCTCAAACTCTCTGGCTCTCTCCTACCTTCACCTCTCTGCCCACTGGATCCCTATGCATAATTTAAGGTTATCACCTCCTCACTAGAGCCTCCCCCATGGCACCTCTCCTGGGTTCTCCCCACCCATCACACTGCTGATTCTAAAACAGCCGCTCAAAGGCCACCTGGAGTTTCTTTGTGTGTCTCCCCCTATACAAGCCCTGCCCAAGCTCACCCCAATCCCCAGGAGATGAGAGGAGGCCCTTGTAATAAGCAGGTAACAGATGTGAAGTGGGAGATGGACCGGGACAGGGGAGCCGATTTGGAAGAATCTGAACGAGTCCACACAGTTGATGAATGGATTTCAGTTCTGAACTAGCAGGCGCTCGACTTATTCTGCACTGAGGTCGGGGGGGACAGTGGCTGGAAGGAAGAGGCAGTTTGCCTGTGGCCGGCACTCACTCCATGAAGGGCTGCAGGGCATCCACCATCAAAGAAGCGTGGAAGATGGCAAGGGCTGGCATGGAGGGCAGCACACCACCAAGGCCTTCAGAAGCACCCACTGCTTGCTCGTTAGCCACACTTCCCACCCCTCCTTTCAAGGCCGCCTCTCCGGGGCCTTTGAGAGGTATTTTTTTCACTCCACTCAAGTTGTCAGGTGCATTTGAGATGTACCAACTGAGCATTTGCTATAAGCCAGACCCAGGGATCCATGGGCTGGAGACACCGCTGGACACCTTCAGAAGGCTCAGTGCCCACATCAGTTGGCGCACGCCTGGCATTTTGTGTAGACAGACTCAAGTTCGGAGAGTCTCCAGGCCTGTTCACAAAGAACCCAGAAAACTCTGCAAAAGAGCTCCCAGCCCACTCAGTACTTCTGCCACCCTTCCTTGAATGACCTGTTTACCCCAAATGTCCAAGCCTGGGCAGCAGAGGGGGTCACCCCAAGACACAGGATGAAGACTCAACACAAGGACCTTAGAGTCCAATCGTCCAACTCCCACCATCCGCTACTATACAGAAAAAACTAAGGCCCTGAGGGTCAGGGACTTCCCTAGGGGCTTCCAACTGCCTTCCTGTCCCTATTTGGGGCTGCCTGGCCCACAGCTAGGGAATGGATACCACTTCTATGGTAGGGAGCACATGCCAGGTCCTGCAGGTCCACACAGCGGGCACAGGGACTTGAGAAGGTCCTGATGGGTAAGAAGGACCATGAGAAGGAAAGAAACTAGCATTAAACTTCAGCAAAAGGGGCCTCCCTGGTGGCACAAGGGGTTAAGACGCAACCTGTGAAGCTATCCACAGCCACTACAGCACGAGTTCGATCCCCAGCCAGGGAGCTACCCACACAGCACAGCAGACCTCTCCTGTCTCACCCGCTGCTCCCCTCAGCAGTGTATTTCAGTCAATCTGCCTGTTTTGCTCTCCATTCTGTCTCTGGTGACTCCTCTCACCCCCCCACACCTCTGGCCTGCACCCCAGTTCTTGTATGCATAAATAAATTGATCTTTACCAAAAAAACTTCAGCAAAAGGAACCTACCCAAGGCAGACAGTGAGTCACCCAGGTCCCACCTGCCTGAGAAAGTCCAAGTGGGGTGGACCTATACTCTAGAGGACTTTTCTTGCCCATGGTCTTGGAGGAAGGAAAGGCCCCCTTTTGTTGATGAAGAAACCGAGGCCTAAATAATAGGAACAGAGCTATTGTGACAGCTAGGGATCCATGAACAGGCAGGGAGCCAGGGATGGAGGACAAAGCACACAGGGGTGAGGGGGGCAGAGGCCCCACCCTGTGACTCAGATCTGGGGCCAGGACCAGTAAACGCGCCCTGAGCCCTGGGAGACAGGGTTCAGGCCTAGCCAGCATCCTCCTGCAAGTCACTTAGGACTCAAACTGAGAGCTCACCACCCAGGGGACCTCTACCCTGGCAGCTATTCTACAGGCTGGGAAACAGGGAGAAGAACAGGAAAGGGCTGCAGCTTCAGAGTGCAAGCGCCCCTGGCAAATTCCCTAAGCTCCTGCCTCTTAGGGGCAGTTACCACCCCAAGCTGGGAACAGTTGAGTCCTGGTCTCAGCCGTGTCACCTCTGGCAAACCACTGCTCCGGCCTGAGCTGCAGGTCATCCTGCTGTCAAATGGGGCAGGTGGGACTAGGTATGACACCACTGACAACTGCTCACAGTAGTGGTTCAGTTTCCACATCTGCAAAATGGGATAATAGTTGTGCCAGCCCAGCGTTGGAGCAGAGGTTTAACTGAACTGATATGTCCAAAGTCCTCAGGGTGGCAGACCTAAGAGCTCAAGGCGCGACGTGCAGCTTGCACAGACTGTTTTATCTCAAGAAGCTGGTAGTGCTTCAAGGAGAGGATTCTCTTTTGGAAGCCGAGGAGGGGAGGTAGAGGGAGGGTTAGATGATGGTCCAGATCACAGGCTGGACCCACCCATCCCCCCAGAGGAGAGCTTGGTCCCTCTGGGGCCACTTGGTCTTGGCCAACCTGTGCGCCCATGGCCCTACCAGGCAGGCTCTGTGGTGCAGGGCCTGCCTCCACACCTCCTCCCAGGATGATCTCTGAGTTAGTGCTGGAGCAGCCAAGCCTGCCCCCTTCCCCATCGCCCTTGAGGCTCATCTGCCCAGTCAGCCATCCCTTGGGAGCTGCTTCTCCATCTGTCTGCACAGTGAGAACAGCCCAGGCTGGGGAGTTGGACACACCTGGCTCCAGTTCCTGCTCTTTGCATCACCCCCCCCCCACAAAAAACCTCATTTGTAAATTGGAGGAGCCCTCACCCACCTCCCCAGAGACCTGCCCTGGTTGGCTCTCATGTAGGGTCCCTGGACAGTCACTGCTTGTCCATGGTGTCACACAGTAACTAATACTAGGGCCCCCTTTCATGCCCCAAACCATCTGGTTTGGACCTGGTTAATTATACGGTTGCCTTTCTTGCAGAGCACCCTTGGCTGCGCTCCAGGGTGTGGGCAAGGGGATGGACAGGCTGGGGGGCTCATCTCAGCACCCACTACACTAACATGGAGACTGAGGAGAGAAAACTCCCTCAACGTCACCGCAGAGGTAGCGTCAGATGCTGGTCTCCTGACCCCATCTAGCACCATCTCCTTCCTTCCATGGCCTGTCCCACCCACTCCCCACCCTTCAGACGTCCTGACATGCTAAACAGAATCCTAGGGACCTAGGACCCAACCTTCCAGTCCCTCCTCCATTCACAGGACCAGCACGGCCCCCTTTCAGGCTGTCGTCCCTGAAAACCTGACCAATCCTGGCACGGTTTCAAGACCCTTCCCTAACTCACTGACAGCAGGTCTGGGAGTGGCAGTGGGAGCTCAGAGTCAGAGAGAGGAAGCCACGAGGTCTTGACCTATTGGGGAGGGACCCTCTGAGTGAAGAAAGGTAGTAGGCCTCTGCCTGAGGTAGGTAGATCTGTAGCCCCAGGACTGCTGGCCCCTCACTGAGAAATACCTCCAGTGGAGACCCAGAAATGACCTCTCCCAACCCTGTCTCTGCCTCATAGTCAGAAAGTCAGCCAGTTTTGCTCCCTGCACCCTGGGAGTCTAGGAGTTCTCCGTCCAGGCCTTCCTACTCCCAGCTCTGCCACAGGTGAGGGTCCCAGGCCCTGCACAGGGATAGCTATTAATCCCTGCACCCCTGCTTCTCTCCTCCTGCTGCCCACACAGGACAAACCATCCCAGGAGCTGGTTGAACCAGCTTTCCCAGGCCCTAGCACAGCAGTGCACGTGGCTTCACTTCCGCACCGGAAGACACCTGCCCCAGTGGATCCCAGCCAGCCCTGGCCACCACCCCAGCCTCTCCCTGCCCCAGAACTCAGTGTCCACAGCCAGACCCTCCCCAGGTCACTCTCCCACCCCCCCAAGGCCTAAGAGCGTACTAGGCCCATCCTCCTTTGTTTTACAGATCAGAAAACTAAGGCTCAGAGAAGGGAAGGCCATTTCCCAGGGACACACAGCAAGTGGTGGCAGAGCCAAGACTAGAACCCAGGCCTCTGGTAGCTTGGAGCTGAAAGAAGAGGGAAGAGGAAGAAAGGAATGTGGGCAGAGCAGAGAAGGAAGAGAGAAAGTGAGGGGAGAAAGGAGCCTGGGAACTGGAGATGTTTCTAGAAGTTAACCTCTTGGGCTGGTTACTCCAGACTCCCCTGGGTGCTGGGGCAGAGGTGATATTTTCTGTCCCCCAGGCTCAGTCCTGAGACCTGCTTCCTGGCCCCACCCGGAGAAAAACTCCCCACCAAGCCAGGCCTGACCTCAGGGCCTAGGGGCCAGGGAGCCAGCCCCACACCCTGCAGACGTTCTTCCTGAGTTACCAAGCAGCCCCGGGGAGGACCACACCTCTCTCCTGACATCTGCCCTCCCCATCTCCCCAGGACTCAACCACCTGCCGGGTTAGGCGCTGACTCACCGCTCAGGCAAGAAGGGTGTCAGGCTTGGGGACTGGGAGTTGGATGGGCCATGTGGGTCATGCTCTGGACCCCTGGTTCCTCCCTGGGCCCCTAGATGACCCGGGATGAGTCACTTCCTTGGCAGTTCCTTGACAGTAACAGGCAGGGGCCCATCCTGTCCCTCCCCCCCAGAAAGGGCCATGAGAACTGAAAACAGGGCTGGTCTTGGGAGGCAGCCAATATGGACACGTCCTTGGGGAGGCACGGGAGGGACAATCGCAGATGGGCCACCAACTCCCCATGCAGCCATGCGCCTGTGGGCATCAGCTCCTTCATCTGCAAAATGGGGACAAACATCCCCCCCCACACACACACGGACAGGTGGACAGAGACAGCACACAGCGTGAGAACAGGCGCAGAAGCAGCAAAGGCAGGGCAAAGAGCTCATGAGGAGTGGGAGGACAGGCCACACTCTGTGCTCCCATTATCTGAGTCTGTGTGCCCCCAGGAACTGGGGCTCCTCAAGGTGAGGCCTGGCCCTGCTCTTCCCGGCATTCCCAGGCCCAGTCTTATACTTGAAGGGCTCAGTGCATAATGGGTAAATGAGCAGATGTGCCAGAAACTGAGTGAGTGAGTAAACAAATGACAATCGATAAATGGCGAGCCCCGTGAGGAGAGGAACCAGACCTGTCCCCAATTTCTCCCTGCATCTAGGACAGCACCTGCCATGTGGTGGGTGCGCAACACACGTGGGGAACGAATGTGTGGAACAGACGGGAAGGCCAGGTGAGCTGCTAGGCCATCCTCCGACCACCAGAGCCCCACAGACTAGCAGCCTCAGCGAGGGCCTCCTGCTGCACTGGGGCTTACCTTTCTGCAGGTGGATGATGTCAGGGAAGTTGGAGAGCAGGCCCTGGTAGAGAGACAGTGTGTCGAGCATCTGGAAGAGGTCGTTCTTGGGCTGCTCGGCAAACATCTCACCGACGGCTTCATAGGTACGGCCCGTGTGAGAAATGGCACTGTTGAGGGCCTCGGAGCTAAAAGGGGGGTCCATCTGGAAGGAATGGCTGATGGCCTGGAAGGCATTGCCCAGCTTCTGGAACTCCTTGCGGAAGCCCCCCACGTGCTTGCGCACCAGCTCCGACGCCACCGTGCTGAGCTGCAGGACGCTGTCATCCATTTTCTTGCTGAAGGCCTTGAAGGTGTCCACGCGATCTTCCACGTCCTGCAGGTCCTGGTGCTCCGTGGGGATCTGGAAGGTGAGCAGGAAGCTGGCGCCCACCATCTCGTCCTTCTCTGCCCGGCGCTTGCCCATCTTCCACTGCTTGTCGTCCAGGCAACTGAGGAAGTGCTGGAAGCCCTCGTACTGGGACAGCACGGGGTGGCTGGTCATGTGATCCATCCAGAGGATGAGCCGCCGCTTGCGCTTCTCAATGAAGTCTTCCTCGAACCGGCCCGTGGCCTGCTTCTCTGGCAGGTGCGGCACCGAGATGACCGTGAACTTGTGCAGCAGGCGGTTATAGAGCCAGTCAAAGTGCTTGTAGCGCCGGTAGACAGGCGAGCCCGCGTGGGTGGGCGTGAGCTTGTAGGAGATGTAGCTTTTGATGCCCTTGAACTTGGTCTGTTTGGTAGGGTCCTCCACCGAGCAGGCAAATGGGTGAGGGTTGGCTTTCCACTGGGGGCCACGAGGACCCATTTCAATAGAATATGTCTCGGCGATCTTGGCCATCATGGGCACATCGCCGAGGATGAAGGCCTCCACTCCGGAGCGCACAAAGCAGGAGAAACGGTTGAGGTTGCGCCCCACCACGCTGCCTCGCTTGGCGGACGCCAGGCTGTCCTGCCGCTCCAGGGGGGGCTTGGGCCGGAAGGCCATGTGCTGGCTGGGATAGGCACCCGGGTAGGAGAGGTTGAGGGGGGGGTGCCCGTTGGTGCCCAACCCACCAGCCCGTGGCTCTTCCGCCACCGTGCACCCATCGTCCCAGTCATCCCAGTCATCGTCGTCGTCCTCCTCGAAGCTGCCCTGATTGGAGAGAAAGCCGCTGCCCCCGGCGCCCCTGCAGTGGCTGGTCACGGTGGGGCTATCGTACAAGTTCACCTGGGGGCCCGGGGAGCCTGCCGGGCTGCCGCAGCAGTCAGCATAGCTGGAGCTGGTGCCAGGGCGGATGATCTCCACGTAGGAGGCCGGGAAGAGCCCCGTCTCACCTCGGCTGTTCTGGCCTTGCAGCCAGCCGTCCAGGGAGGTCTCGCTGAAGACGACCAGGTCCTCGTCCTGCTGGATGCTGATCTCCTCCTTGTTCTCGCTGCGGAAGTCATAGAGAGCTCGGCCTTTCAGAGCCATGGCTGGGCGGTGGCAGACACAGAGAAGCAGAGGGTCCGTCCCAGAGCCAGGCCTGCGCCGGGGAGTCCGAGAGTGCACTGGCCACCCAGGGCCTGTCCCAGCGGCTCGGCCGACCAGCCCCCAGCGCGGGATCTGAGCCCCCGCGGACGTTGTCCAGCCTCCCTGCTCTCAATGCAAAGTCTGTGACCCAGAAACCGCCCGCCCAGGCCTCCCTGCCCCGGCCTGTGCACAGGGACGAGTCATGTCCAGAGTCTTCCTCCCGGCCCTTGGCAGCTCCTGCAGAGGGAGTCGGGCAGAGGCTGCTCCTGCAGAGGGAGTCGGGGGAGACGCTCTCCTTCAGGCGCTCGCAGGAGGAAAGTGGGGTGCTCGGAGAGAGCAGCGCCCGGAGCGCAGGAATCCGCCCCTTCCCGCCAGCCCGGCGCCCCGCGACAGAGGAGGCTCGCTCGGGGGCCGCCTTCCAGAGGCCCGGGCCGGCTGCCCCCCGGCTCCTCGCGGCGGCCGGGCCCGGGGAGGCGCTCGCATTCCTCGCCCTCCTCCTCCTGCTCCGGGGCCGCCGGCGTCTCCGGGCGCAGAGAACTCCGGCGGGGCGAGGAGCGGAGCAGCGGCCTCCCGAGCCGCGGCCGGGGGACGTGCCCGGCTCCGCGCACCCCGGCCGGACGGCGGCGGCGGGGCTCCCCCCGGCCCCGATCCCCCGGCGGCCGCCCGGTCCCCCGCGCCCCGCTCCGGGAGGGGGGGCGCCCCGCGCTCGGGCGGCCCCGGCGAGGAGCTGCGGCGCTTTGTCCGCCCGACCCGCGGCGCCCCGACGGCCCCGCGCAACAGGGTCCCGCGCGCCCTCCGCGCCCCGCGTCCTGGGGGTGGGCTCGCCCGGCCCCGCGCCGCACCCGCGCCCCGCGCCCCGCGCCCCGAGAGCGCCGGCTCCAAAACAAAAAAAAAGGCGATTCCGGGAGGAGCGGCCGGGGGAGGGAGCGGCCGGGAGGTGAGGGCGGGGCGGGGCGGGCGCGGGGCCCGGCCGGGCAGGGACGGCTCCGCCCCGGCCCCGCCGCCCGCCCGGCCCCGCCGCCCCTCGCGCCGGCCGGGGTGCGGGGTGCGGGGCGCCGGCGCCCGGGAAGCCTCGCGGGGGCCCCCGCGACGCGCGCGCAGCGACGCCGAGTTCGCAGAGTCCAGGCCGGAGCGCGCCGGCGCCGCGGGCCCGACCCGGGCCGGGGGAGGCGCGTGGGGAGCCGCAGACGCCCCCCGCCCCCGCCCCGCCCCGCCCCCGCCCCCGCCTCGGGGGGACCCGGCGGCGCGCAGCTCTCGGGAAGGAGCCTCCGCGGCTTCCGACGCCTGGTCAGTCCGGCAGCTGGCGGGGGACACCGACCGCGGGGGGCCTGCGTCCTAGCCAGTAGGGCCGGAGCACCCCGCCCCAGGCTGCAAACTTCTGGGGAGCACTGGACCCCACATCCAGCGCGGGGAATACGCCCGGGCACGACCCTGGCCAGGGGACGGCACGTCCTGGCTCAGCCGCAGCGGGAGGAGGGGAGGAGAGGGGCAGGGTGGGGTGGGGTATGGGAGGGAGCCGGGGGGGGGGGGCTGGCGGGGGTGGGGTCGGGGGGCAGCGTGGGGAGCGGGGAGGCGGGGGGGGGGGCGGCGGGGAGGGGTCGTCGGGGGGCCGTCGAGTGGGGGCGGTTGGGGGGCCGTCGGAGGGCGGTCGGGGGTCCGTCAGGGGGACGGTGGGGGGGGCAGTCGGGAAGAGGCGCCTGGGCGCGGGCTCTCCGGCGGGGGAGGGTGTAGGGTGCGGGGAGGGGGGGTCGGGAGTGGGGGGTGGCAGTCCCCCCTTTATCCTTAACTCGCTCTTTCTGTCTCTGTCCCGGGTATCCAGTAACACCCTCAAGGAAGCATTGCCCAGGTGACTCTTCTGCACCAGGCCCCCTTGGGCCACAAAGGAGAAAAACGCACGGCCCTTACCTTCCAGCTCGATGTGTCGGGACAAGCAGACAGATGCGCCCTGCGGATGTGAGCGGGGCTGGCCGCGGGAGGGCACCCGGGCCGGCCTGGGTGAGCAGGACGAGGAAGGCCTCCGGAGAAAGAGGCTGAGGGACGGCAAAGCTTTCAGCCCCACTCCCCTTCCGAGCTATACCCTGGAGCCTTGTCGCACCCCCGGTGTAGAGTTCCCTTCACCTCGCTCCCGCTCTTCCGTGGCTAAAGGTAGACACCTTCACATGTTTTTGAGAGTCTGATTTATAGGCCTCTGACTTCAAAATCCAGTTTCATTGTTGCAGTGAGTGGCTCTGCCCTCCTATGCAGGACTGACTCCATGAAGACTGCTGTACAAGCCTCAGAAAGCCAGGTATTAATTTGCACTGAGAAAGCTGTCAGGCAGACCTGATTTCTGGCATCAGCAGGTCGAGATAGTTTGGGTTGCTCCTTGGGAAACTTAGTTACCAGAAGGTTAGCCCATAAGCCTGGACCCCCCCCCAAGAGGGAAGAGGTAATGTTAGGACAGGTCTTTCAGCCAAGAAACCTTGAGATCTTCTGTATGCCGGAGGAGCACCTAGTATCTCTGTGACCAGAGCTTGCTTCCCAGCTGCTTTTAGGATGCCCCTTTTCTGTGATCGCTCCTCTATTCACCTAGAATCCCTCCAAGTTGAGCCTAACAATGGGGACTACTTGTAGTGTTTGCTGAGTGCCAGACACTCTTGTTAACATTTTGCCTATATTAGCTCAGTTAATGCAATGGATTCGATTTTTGCTCATCCAGTTAGGGTCCTGGCCTAGCCCCTACCTCCTGGGGGACCCTAGCCTAGCCCCAATCCCCCAGGGGACCCTAGCTACCACCTTGATGGCCTTTAGAACTTCAGTCACCATCAGTACTCCCACACTGGTTTTGGATGGGTTTTTTGAATGCTCAGAGACCTCCCCTTTTTTGTAGGTTCCTGGGGGGATCTCACTCTTTAGCCTCACATTTTCAGAATCTCTATCTTCCATTCCATTCCTTCCAGGACCTCTCTTCAAACCTAGGGGTAACAGAGCCCCAGTTACCAGTCTCAGGAAACTGTACTAACCTTTGTGGTTCCACTATACCCTGCCCATTCCTTTGGAAAAAGTCTTCATTTCATTCTCCAATTATCCTAACTGGAGTGTGTCCTCTCTGCCGCTAGGCCCCTGAGTGATGCACAGGAAACAGTATCCATCCCCGGTCTAGCCATCCAACTCTCCTCCTTTAAGAACGGAGGATCTTGGAAGAAGAGCGGCCAATCCCACTGGTGGCAGCACAGAGGACATCCTATAGCATTACTGTAGTGATGGAGATGAGCAATGATGTGAGTTGAGGCAGAGCAGGTGTAAAAGCCTAGGGAGAAGTAAATCTGGGAGTTTGGGGAGGTAGAATAGACTGGAATGGCAACCAACAAGATGTGGGTATTGAAGGAGGAATCAACCCACATCTTTAAAAAAATAGACTATTGAGTCCACTTCCTTTTCCAGCCACTGCCCTATTTCTCTGCTCGCCTTTGCAGGAAAATCCCTAAAAATGGCCTTGTATGCTAGCTACCTGCAATTTCTTCCATTATTTCTCTCTTTTTTAAAGATTTTATTTATTTATTTTTGTGTAGAACTGGGATGTAGGCCAGAGGTGGAGGTGCGGGGTGACAGGATTCAGCAGAGACAGAGCGGGGAAAAGAACAGGCAAATCTACTGAAATACACTGCTGAGGGGAGCAGCGGGCAAGGCAGGCGAGGTCTGCTGCGCCATGTGCAGGTTAGTCTCTGGCAGGGGATGGAACTCAGGCTGTAGAGGTGATAACACTGAGACTTAACCTCCAGGGAGGGGAGGCCCCCCCTTTCTCTGCTTAAACCCCTTACTCCTTACTCGCTCTTTCACCACCACATTCCACTGAAACTATCCTTATCAAGGTCATCAGTGACTTAATGTTTATTGCAGTGTTCCACTTACTCAACCTCTCAGCAGCAGGTCATTCCATCCCCCTGCACACACTTTCTTCACTTGCCTTGAGACTGTTCTCTCCTGGTTTCCTGCAACCTCATCCTTTTCGCAACCGATTCTTTTTTTTTTTTTTTTTTAAGATTTATTTATTTATTCTTACAAGAACCGGGGTACAGGCCAGAGGCGCGGGTGAGAGGATTCACCAGAGACAGAGTGGGGAACAGAACAGGCAGACTGACAAAATACACTGCTGAGTGCGGCGCCGGTTCGATCCCCGGCTGCTCCCCGGCCACCGGAGGAGGATCCCACATGGTGCGCAGACCTCTCCTGCCGCCCGCTGCTCCCCTCAGCAGTGTACTTCAGTCCTTCTGCCTGCTCTGCTCCCCACTCTGGCTCTGGTGAATTCTCTCACCCTCCTGCGCTTCTGACTGTACCCAGTGCATGTATAAACAAAACAAACAAATATAATAAATAAATAAATAAAAACATGCCTCTATAAAAAAAAAATAAATAAAAAAAAAAACCAAAAAAACAAAATACACTGCTGAGGGGAGCAGCAGGCGAGACAGGAGAGGTCTGCCTCACCATGTGGGATTCTTGCCAGCCGGCCAGGATCGAGCCGGTGCTGCAGAGGCTGTGGACAGCTTCGCTGCAGAGGCTGTGGACATCTTCACAGCACAGCGCTCAACCGCCTGTGCCACCAGGCGAGGCCCTCAACCGATTCTTAATGCTACTATGACTACAATAGAGGATCCTCTTCTCTACAACAGTCATTCCTTTGATGATCTCACCCAGGCTCATGGGTTCAAATACCATCTTACCTGTCCACATTATGTCCCAATTTCTTTTTAAGTCTCCAGTCCAGGCCTCTAAAACTTCAAACTCACACATCTTTCTTCTTGACATTGACCCTTGGCTGTCTCATAGACACCCCAATCCGACATGTCCAAAACTGAATTTTTAATCTTGCCCACCGAGCCTGTTCTACGTGGCAGCCTCGCTCTCTGTGGTGAGGAGTAGTTTCTCCCGGTTATTCAGGCCCAAACTAGAGCTCTCCTGGTTCTTCTCGTTATCCCGGGACTCCAATCTCATCAGCATCTTCTGGTCCTGGGCACCATCTTTTCCACCTATATCACTGCAAAGCTTCCTAGTGGTCTTTGTGTTTCCTGCCACCCGAGTCTATTCTCAACACAGTAAAGCAATCCTCTCAAACATAAGTTAGGTGTCAATCCTCTACTCAAAACCCTGCAGTATCCTTACCTCACATAAAAACAGAAGCCCTGGGTCTCCCTGGTGACGCAGGGGTCAAGTGTCACTGCTGAATCCTCTCACCCCCTGCACCTCTAGCCTACACCCCTATTCTTGTATGCATAAATAAAAATAAATCTTAAAAAAAACAAAAACAAAACAAAGTCCTTACATGGGTCTACAAGCTCTTGCTATCTAAGTCACCTTTCTTCCTCCCCTTCTAGCCCACTCTGCTCCAGCTGTGGCTGTTATTCTTCTGACATACCAGCATTCCTGTATTAAGGTTTATGTGAAATGTTTTCCCTGAAATGCTCTTCCCCTGGATAGCCACATGGATAAACCCCTATAAAATAACACCTTCTCAATAAGACCTACCTTGACATGCCTTGTTTAAAATTACAGCCCATCTTTACCTGAAGCTTTCCTATATCCTGTGCAGTTTTGTTTGCTAATACTTATCGCCTACTAACATATATAATTTACTGATTTATTGTGTTTACTGTCTGGGGAGAAGGAAGTTAAATAAGAGTCCTGCTGCCAACAAGCTGAGCAAGTGCAAAGGATGCAAGGGAATGAGGCTGAGAGAAGACGATGAGGGGAGGAAATGCAAACTGGGAGAAGGTGCAGGCACCGTATATAACTGATGGAGGATTTTATAATTTTTTTTTTAATAGAGGCATGTTTTTATTTATTTGCTTGTTTGTTTTGTTTATACATGCACTGGGTACAGTCAGAAGCGCGGGAGGGTGAGAGAACTCACCAGAGCCAGAGCGGGGAGCAGAGCAGGCAGAAGGACCGAAGTACACTGCTGAGGGGAGCAGCGGGCGGCAGGAGAGGTCTGCGCGCCATGTGGGACCCTCCTCCGGTGGCCAGGGAGCAGCCGGGGATCGAACCGGCGCCGCAGAGGCCGCGGGCAGCTTCGCAACCCAGCGCTCAACCGCTGCGCCACCGGGGAGGCCCTGATGGAGGATTTTAAATACCTTCAAACCAATTACTAAAAGAGCAAACAATCTGTATTAGTGTCCCATTAAAACAATAACAAATTACCACAAACTTAGTGCTTAAAACAACACAAATTTATTGTTTTACAGTATTGTTTTATAGACATCCCAGCTGGGTCTCAGTGGATTTAAAGATGTCAATAGTTGTCAGTATGGGCTCTTGGGAAAAATCCATTTCCTTGCCTCTTCCAGCTTCCTAGCTGATCACATCCCTCTGCTCTTGGACCCCTTTCATCTTCAAAGCCAGCAATCCTATCACTCTAATTTCTGCTTCCATCCTCACATCTCCTGATTATTCTCCTCCCTCCTTCACTTATAAGGTGAACCACCCAGACAATACAGGAAAATCTCAAGATCTTTAATTTAATAACAAGAAATCCCTTCCAAGTGCACCTCTGGAGGTGGGGGATAAGCTTTATCCTACTTACTGCATAATGCAATAGAAAAGACAGGAAAAAGCATTTCATTGAAAAGGAAACACATATGAAACCTTTATTGGGTAGGAAAATGCAAATTTTAATCAAAATGAAATACACACTCACCAGACTAGAAATACTTTTTTTTAAAAAGATGTATTTATGCATACAAGAACTGGGGTATAGGCCAGATATGGGGGAGGGGGGTGAGAGGATTCACCAGAGACTGAGTGGGGAGCAGAATAGGCAGATGGACCGAAAACACTGCTGAGGGGAGCAGTGGGTGAGACAGGAAGGGTCTGCTGCGCCATGTGGGTCACCTTCCTGGCAGGGGTTCAAACTCATGCTGCAGTGGCTGCTGATAGCTTCATAGTGCTGATACTTAACCCCCTGCACCACCAGGGAGGCCCAAGACTGGAAGACTGGAAGTACCTTAAAGAGCTAACAATGAGGGGGGTGGGGGGGTCACCCCAGTGGTGCAGCAGGTTTGAGCACAGCAGGTGTGAAGCTGGCTGGCCAGGGAGAAACCCACATGGTGAGGCAGACCTCTCCTGTCTTGCTGGCTGCTCCCTTCAGCAGTGTTTTCGGTCCATCTGCCTGTTCTGCTCCTGCTCCCCACTCTGCCTCTGGTGAATTCTCTCACCCTCCAGCACCTCTGTCCTGTACCCCAGTTCTTGTATAAATAAATTTTAACAAAAGCTAACCACCAACGTGTGTGAGAATGATGAGCAAAGGGAACGCTTATGCACTGCCGAAGGAGTATAAATTGGCACAGCCCCTTTGGAAAATAATTTGACAATATCTAGTGTGGCTGAACATGCACATACTTTGTAATTTATCAATACTTTACTCCAAGATGTACACTAGAAACTACTGCATATATACAATAGATGACTGAGGAAAGTGTTAATAACAGCCCTGCTAAAAAATAGCCCCTCCAAAAAATTCACTGGGAAAATGGGTTAATAAGATAAAGCCAAATAGTGGAATATTATGCAGCAGTAGGAAAAACAAAACAAAAAATTACAGCTACGTATAGTGAACTGCATATAGTATTATGAAGCCCTCTCAAATGTCAGTAAGCATGTAAATTACCTGGGTATCATTAGATACAGATTCTAAAGATCAGGAATGGGGAATGAAAGTCTGCCTTTCCAACAGGCTCTTGGTTGGTCCCAGGCTACACTTTGAGTAAAGGCTCTCCCTATATTTAGGGAAGTTTAAAAAAAAAAGCTGGAAATAAGTTGTCTCCAACGCTGCTCCCCTCAACAGTGTATTTCAGTCAGTTCACCTGTTCTGCTCCCTACTCTGTCTCTGGTGAATCCTCTCACCTCCACCACCACCCACCTCTGGCCTGTACCCAGTTTCAGTATGCATAAATAAATAATCTTAAAAAAAAAAAAAAAAAAAAGGCAGGGCCTCCCCGGTGGCGCAGTGGTTGAGCGCTGGGTTGCGAAGCTGCCCGCAGCCTCTGCAGGGCCGGTTCGATCCCCGGCTGCTCCCCGGCCACTGGAGGAGGGTCCCACATGGCGCGCAGACCTGCCACCCGCTGCTCCCCTCAGCAGTGTACTTCGGTCCTTCTGCCTGCTCTGCTCCCCGCTCTGGCTCTGGTGAATTCTCTCACCCTCCCGTGCTTCTGACTGTACCCAGTGCTTGTATAAATAAATAAATAAATCTTTAAAAATAAATAAATAAAAGATTTTTTTAAAAAAAAGCAGGTTTCGCTTTACCACTGGCTAGGAGAGTGGTTGGAACAAGTAGATGAAATGGTGCTGGCGACGTTTCCTCAAACTGGCTGATGGTTTCCTAAGCAGTCATTATAGTTTTTTTTTTTTTTTTTTTTTTAATAGAGGCATGCTTTTATTTATTTATTTGTTTGTTTTTTTTGTTTATACATGCACTGGGTACAGTCAGAAGCACGGGAGGGTGGGAGAAGTCACCAGAGCCAGAGCGGGGAGCAGAGCAGGCAGAAGGACCGAAGGACACTGCTGAGGGGAGCAGCGGGCGGCAGGAGAGGTCTGCGCGCCATGTGGGACCCTCCTCCGGTGGCCGGGGAGCAGCCGGGGATCGAACCGGCGCTTCAGAGGCCGCGGGCAGCTTCGCAACCCAGCGCTCAACCGCTGCGCCACCGGGGAGGCCCGTTTTGTTTTGTTTTTTAAGATGTATTTATTTATGCATACAAGAGCTGGGGTACAGGCCAGAGATGCGGGGGGTGAGAGGATTCACCAGAGACAGAGTGGGGAACAGAACAGGCAGACTGACTGAAATACACTGCTGAGGAGAGCAGTGGGCGAGACAGGAGAGGTCTGCCGCACCATGTGGGTAGCTCCCTGGCCAGCCGGGGACTTAACTCGTGCTGCAGAGGCTGCCGACGGCTTCACAGAGTGCTTGTTCACCCCTTGCGCCACCAGGGAGGCCCCAGCACTCGTTACACTTGTGGGCGGCAAATGCCACACATTCTTTCTGTGAGGGGGAAAATAACATTTCCACCAAGTATTATACCTAAAAAGACCAAAGTGAAGCACACGCAGGACCGCGGCACCGCGAGCAGGAAGCAGCCGGGTGGCGGCGCAGGCCCGGGCACAGGTCGGCCCTGCCGCGCTGCTCACACCGACTCGCGGCCAGAGCCGGCCGAGGAGGCGGAAAGGCCGAGGCCCGGCGGCGGGAGCGCGCCCCGCGGCGCCCCAGCTAGGGCCACCCCCGCGCGCTCGGGCCGCCGGCGCCCCTGCCGGAGCCAGTCCCGGGCTCTCGCGGGCGCGGCGGGGAGCGGCGAGGCCGGCTGCGGCGCAGTCGCCGGGGCGGGAGGAGAGCGCGCGGCGGGCCCAAGGCGGGGAGGGCCGGGAGGCGACCTCAGAATCCCGGAGCGCCAGCCCCGGGGTCCCCCGGAAGGCGGGGCGGACAACGCGCCCGAGCCGCGCCCCTGCGCCCGGCGACCCGGAAGCAGAGAAGCCCCGCGAGAGCCGATGCGGGGGCGTGGCCCCACCCGGGCCAATGGGGGGCGGGGGCGGGGCACGCGGCCGCCCTCTCATTGGCCAGAGCCGCCGGGGGGGTGCGTGCGCCGAGGCGGAAGCGGAACACGTCGGGGCCTCGCGCTCGCCCGGTCCCGCCCGGCCGCGGCCGCCATCATGGTGCGGAAGCTGAAGTTCCACGAGCAGAAGCTGCTGAAGCAGGTGGACTTCCTCAACTGGGAGGCCGCGGGCGACAACCTGCGCGAGCTGCGCGTGCTGCGGCGCTACCGGCTGCAGCGGCGCGAGGACTACACGCGCTACAACCAGCTGAGCCGCGCGGTGCGCGAGCTGGCGCGGCGCCTGCGCGACCTGCCCGAGCGCGACCCGTTCCGCGCGCGCGCGTCGGCCGCGCTGCTGGACAAGCTGTACGCGCTCGGCCTGGTGCCCACGCGCGGCTCGCTCGAGCTCTGCGACCGCGTCACCGCCTCGGCCTTCTGCCGCCGCCGCCTGCCCACCGTGCTGCTCAAGCTGCGCATGGCGCAGCACCTGCAGGCCGCCGTGGCCTTCGTGGAGCAGGGCCACGTGCGCGTGGGGCCCGCCGTGGTCACCGACCCCGCCTTCCTCGTCACGCGCAGCATGGAGGACTTCGTCACCTGGGTCGACTCGTCCAAGATCAGGCGGCACGTGCTGGAGTACAACGAGGAGCGCGACGACTTCGACCTGGACGCCTAGCGGGCCCGCGGAGGGGCGCCCCAGGACATCCCCGGGGTCAGCCGGGCCCCCGCCCCAGGACGCGCCCGCAGACCTCGCGCGCAGCCAGAACCCGGGGAGACCCGCGCATTCCCTGGCCGCCTTGGGGGGATCCGGAGAACTGGGTTTGTGCAGCGCCGGAGAGTTGAGGCTTGTGCCAGAAAGTGGTACCTGCAGCGAGGACTGTACGCACCCCCCAGGCTTCCCTCTTTGTCCTGTGATCGGACCCTTAGGCTTAACTTATTTATCTCAAACCTGCTCCCGTCTGAGCTGCGTGCTGACTGTGAGACTGAAGCGTTCGGGGGCCCTCCCTTGTTTAAAGAGAGGCTTTCCTAGTGTCAATAAATGGACCTACTGCTTTGGAAGTCCGCACTTTTTGTCTGTCTGGTTTTCTCACGTAGGTTCACGTCTACAGGTTTCTTTGGCTCAAGAACCCAGAAAAGAGACTCGGGTCAGCAGGGACCTGCTGTGGGGGAGCCCTGCCCCTGGGCCCCATGTGGAGGTTGCAGGATGTTGCACAGGGCTGGGCAAATGTGCCAGTTTACCAGTCCTTCCTCGGAGTGAGTGTTTTGCCAGAGCTCTTCCCCACAGGACTTCCCGCCGGTATTCCAACCCCAGGAAATACCATATTTGAAGTCCAGAGTGTGTGCTTGCTTAAGGAAATAATCACCCTGCAGCTTGGCCTTCTAGTAGTTAGAAGTGGCCCAGGAGTTTCCTGGAAACTTGTTCTTGAGAGTGACGGAGAACTGGGCAAGTAGGCAGGCTGCCTCATGTTACCTAAGGCTTGCTCAAAGAGATAAATGGAATGCCAAGATTTTTGGCTTTTACATGTGCCTTCTCCGTTTCCCCAAGCAGCATTTGGTGAAGAAACCAAATTAGTTGTCCCTATGTGTGTTGTGGTTTTGAATGGAAGGAGAGGTGACATTGGGAATAACCATAGGAAATGCTTCTACTGTGATGGACAGCATTTACTCTTCCCTACAGGTCTAGGAGATGAGCAATTCAATTATTCTCTGCTTTTCAAGTGCGGGAACTAAGGCTGACACGGGTCAAATTTTCCAAGGTGGTGGAGGGGGGAACTGTATTCCCTTTGAGCTGTTATCAGTGTTGGCACAGCCAGGCCTTAGGATGTGTCAGGGTTTTAGAGTAAATCACTATTTGTTTTCAAGCCAGCAGAGAAGCAACAGCTGGACAAGAAATCTTGCTGAATACAAATTTGAGCAAGGAGCAAATGCTGAGCTGCCAAGACTTGACATTCCCTGAGACCATACCTGTCCTGAGCTGCCTTTGCTTATCCCAGCGAGGCAGGTGGTGGTATTCACGCCCTTTTCAATTTAGAAAACTGAGACTTGAGGTAAGAACTTGTCCAAGGCTGGGGGTTCAAGTCCAGGCTCATGATTCCCAAGGCAAGTTTCTTTTCCACGCCATCCCTTCAGAAGTGAGTGAGAAGAGACTCCTGCTTCTCAGCTCTGGCGGCTGGGCATGGCCTCTGTCCACTGAATGTCCTTGGAGCTCCCAGGGTTGGGGATCTTAGAGAAGGAGAGTACGTTGGCTCTGGGAGGCAGGGGCCCTCTGGGAACTGGGAACTGGCCTGCACCTATGACCAAGGAGATATAAGGAGCCTGGCTTTAGGAGTTTAGATAATACAAGATTCTTTACAACGGCCTTTCTTCTCCTTTTCTGGGGAAGATGTGAAAGAAATGATTTATTAGAATGTGTCATCAGAAACTTGGGACTTTAACAACTGTAAAATGTGATTCAGAAGGTAGGCCATGGAGCCAGCCCACCTGGTCTGAATCAGGGCTTTTGCGCTTAACTAGCTGTGTGACATTGGTTATTTTCGTAAACCATGCAGACTTTGGTTATTTTCGTAAACCATGCAGACTCCATTTTCCTCATCACAAACGTGGTGATAAGAGGCAGAGGAACAAGATGGGAAATTACTGCTTCGTGGATACAGAGTCTCTGGGGCTTGTGGTGATGAAATAGTGTAGAAATGGTGGTAGACAACATTGTGAATGTGGTTAGCTAAAATAGGAAATGTTATGTATATTTTACCACAAGTTTTTTTAAGATTTATTTTTATACAAGAGCTCGGGTACAGGCCAGAGGTGTGGGGGGTGAGAGGATTCACCAGAGACAGAGTGGGGAGCAGAACAGGCAGACTGACGAAATACACTGCTGAGGGGAGCAGCGGGCGCGGCAGGAGAGGTCTGCGTGCCATGTGGGAATATCCCCAGCTGGCCGGGAATCGAACCCACGCTGCAGAGGCTGCAGACCGTTTCACAGCACTGCGCTCAACCCGCTGCGCCACCAGGGAGGCCCCCACAATTTTTTAAAAATGAAAGAAAGATGGTGGGCAGCAAGTGTCACCACACATAGGAACAGGCCTCAGACCCTCAGTCTATTCCCACCCTCCAACAATGCAGGCAGATAAGCTGGGAGGGAACCGGCACTGTCCATTGCTTCACCCACTGGAAATCAGAGGGCTGGACTGAGGGGCCCGGCTCCCAAGCCTGGGAAAGGGCTCTTGAGACTCTCTGGTTAAGACTGAAAAGAGGGGGGCCTCCCCGGTGGCGCAGCGGTTGAGCAGCAGTTGAGCGCTGGGTTGCGAAGCTGCCCGCAGCCGCCCGCTGCTCCCCTCAGCGGTGTATTTCGGTCCTTCTGCCTGCTCTGCTCCCCGCTCTGGCTCTGGTGAATTCTCTCACCCTCCTGCGCTTCTGACTGTACCCAGGGCTTGTATAAATAAATAAATAAATCTTTTTAAAAAAGGACTGAAAAGAGGACTCCACAGATACTGGTGAGGGCAGGTAAAGAGTGAGGGTTTGTTGATGAGCGGAAGAGCAAGGAAAGAGAGCTCTAGAGAGACCCCCCTGGGCATGAGTGAGACTTCCCAAGGTGTCGGGGCCGGGGGCCTGCATAGGCTTTAGGAATGGGGTTTGAAAACAAAGGAATTAAACTTTATTGGCTGAGGAAGCAAGGAAGATGGACTTGGCTAAAATCTATTACTTTTGCTGATGGTGCACACCCGGCAGCTGCAGCTCCGGGGGCATGTAGGGACCGTGACCATCATCAAGAGGAGCATCTCATGGAGGCTGTATGCCCGCAGCTCCAGCTTAACTGGTCTGGTCTCAAGGTCTGTGACTCGGGTTTTTTAAATTTTTTTTAAAGATTTATTTATGCATACAAGAATGGGGGGGGGGTACAGGCCAGAGGTGCGGGGGGTGAGAGGATTTACCAGAGACAGAGTGGGGAACAGAACAGGCAGATTGACCAAAGTACATTGCTGAAGGGAGCAGCAGGCGAATCAGGAAAGGTCTGCTGCACCATGTGGGTAGCTCCCTGGCTGACCCACCCAGATGGAACTTGCAGTGCTGCAGTGGCTTTGGATAGCTTCACAGTGCTGTGCTTAACCCCTTGCACCACCAGGGAGGACCTCATCAGGTTTTTTAACCTCTTGTTTTCCAGTCCATGGGAACAGTAAAATTGGCAAAATTTTGCAAAGCATTTCTTTGAGTCCTGTCCTGTTCCCGGACCCTTCCTATCTCAGTAGTACTGACATTAAAAATCCTAGACAGGGGTCTCCCGGTGGCGCAGTGATTGAGCGCTGGGCTGCGAAGCTGCTCACAGCCTCTTGCAGCGCCAGTTCAATCCCCTGCCGCCGACCAGGGTCCCACATGGCATGCAGACCTCTCCTGCTGCCCGCTGCTCCCCTCAGCAGTGCACCTTGGTCCTTCTGCCTGCTCTGCTCCCCGCTCTGGCTCTGGTGAATTCTCTCACCCTCCCACGCTTCTCTCTGTACCCACTGCTTGTATAAATAAAAATAAATAAATAAATCTTAAAAAAAAAATCCTAGACAGGATTAAATTATTTCATTCCTACTGTTATAGGCACCAACCCAAAAGAGTGGGTCCTTTGCCCTCTAGGGAAAGAATTCAGCAGAGAGCACTAAGTGTAGTTGAACCAGGCAAGAACTTTATTTTCAGTCAACTTGTGAGGTTTGTAAGCATGAGAGTGCCCCAATGAGATGGATATGCTTTGAGACCCACGTTGGCTGTTTTATAAAGAGTGAATTAGGTTTGGGCCCCTGCAGGGATGGGGGAGGGGAGCAGCAGAAAGGGTTTTGAATCTTCTAGACGAGAGTGATATCTTGGATCAAGGCGGTGACAATGGAGCTGGAGAAAATTGGATCTGCAGTCTGTTTTGGAGACTGAAGAGGATACCCTTGGCACCCATCTAACACCCTCTCACCAGCCAGCGTGCCCACCCCCAAGTACCGTAAGTACTGGTTGCTTCCCTCCTCTAGGGAGTTGTACTTGCTGGCTTGAGCCTCCTCCCCCAGGAGGTTATGCCCATCCTTAGCACCACAGCGCCAGCCAGGGACAGATTCCAGGAGCAAAAGACCCCGCCTCTGGTAAGGTCCCTGTGGCTCAGAAGGAACCTAGGCCTTACCAAGGCCACCTCCTAACTCTGCTCCTTCCTCATCCCTATCCCGCTCACCCCTCTGCAGGGGCACCTGAAGGGCGCCTCTTTGATAAATGACCTTGTACTGCATATCCTACTTCAGGCTCTATTACTTAAGAACCTTGGCAAAAACAGAGGCGGTGAGGACTGAGGCAAGTGACTAAAATGACCGCCTCTCTACCCAGTTGTCAAGACTTAGAGCAACTGCTCAGGAGAGTGGAGGTGCCCGTGTGGTTTTCATAAAGCCCATTAAATACCTTGTATGACCGAATGGACTCTTTTTTTTTTTTTTCACTCTTGAAATACAGAATTTTATTTAGAAACTGTTCAAAGTAGAAAAAAACCCTGTCACGAAAGACCAGGTGGAAAATGGCTTCCCAATAAAATGGAATTTTAGGGCAACAAAAGTCTAAAAGGCCACAAAAGAGAAATAGCACCGCTGTTATTTGAACAATGGCTAGTTACTTGCATTTTTTTTTTGGCATTGTTAATCACTGAATCTGGGTTTTCCTCTGAATTCCACACTAAGCCTGCACTACACAACAATTTTATCATAAAATACCTGCTTTCTACACACATTGTAGGACAAGCTGCCACCAGAAACAAATCAATACAAACACATCAGGGTCTGAACAATCTCAGTAGTGGGTGACACATATTTTGCAGAATTCTGCCAAACCGAAACTGAATAGGCTGTGGGCAAAGCAAACAAGGGAGAGTTAAGGAATGAAATATTTTAAATATTAATAATTCGGACATGGTACTATATTTTCTGAAAAAGAAAACATTTAGTAACATGCTAATAAATTTTATCTCCACAGAGATTAGTGCACTGGCAAAGTATTCCGATAACAGTGGAGGGCTGTGGACAGCAGGTACCAAAACACCCAGCCTTGCAGATTCCAAGGTAGCGATGGCCTTCACTGATCACTCCCTTTGCCAGGGGTCCAGAAAGAACTTGCAGCATCATCGCCTGCCTGCCGAACAGCCTCTCTAAGCAGCAAACTTTAAGGAGCTAAAGAGGAGTCCCCAGTGGGCACAGGGAGCAGAGGAGAAAAACTTGTTAAATGTAAACTTAAAAGAGAGTAAAATGGGACACAAGCCCCATTCAAATCCCAGAGATGAGGGCAAGTTCCCAAAAGAAATTTGTTAGTTTTAAAAACTGGATACACCTCATTTTTCAAAGAAACACGATGCATAGAGTTTCAGGGATAATTGGAAAAATCATCAGAAAAATGCTCAATGAAAATCAAGCTTTTCAACTCAGAATGTCTCAGGGCAGTACCACATCCTCATTTATCCAGGCAACAATACGTCTTGCTTCTTAGCAGAGATGCAATTGGTCAAAAGACACCAAATGGCTTTACAGAGCAACTTTTTAAACTTTCCTTATGGGCCAATGTCTAGGCCTCTGAGGATTTAAGCAGCACGGCAAGGCCTGTGAACAGCAGGTCCCAAGGTCCTTTGTTCCTCAGACACAATGTCAAACACATGAAGTCTCCTGTCACATTACATGTTATGTTTTGAAATATGGAAGCATATTTTAAATATTCTTAAGGCATTTATTTATTACAATGTTCTCTGCCAAGATTTCACATTAGTTTAAAATTTAATTCAGTCTTTACATTTCTCTACTAAGGTCTTCACCTCAGCGTATTACATAGAAACACTTTCTCCAGCAATCAGTGTTACCAGCAGCCACTCGGTGATCCCCATGGTCAGCCTCTGTGTTCCCTGAACGCACCAACTAGATGTTAATTCTACTCTGCTGCAAGGTAAAAGCTCCTAACTTGGAAAAGGAGTGAAACTTCTGCAAAGTGCACTTTAAGAAGAGGTACTTTTTGCTTATGAGAAGAAACCAGTGAGTCCTGTAAGGATAATAGAAAGGAGTATTTTACAGTTAAGCACATGGTTTGAAGTGAAGAACTCCAATGTTACTCTGCTGATATAGGCTGTTAATACCCCTCTTATTCCCCCTGTGGGCCCCCTTCATCTGGTATCACAAAGCCTTCATCTGTGGCATAAAGAATGTCCACAATCCTCTGCAATACGGGGCTGTTTTCCCCCTTGATCTCTTGACAAATCAATTCAATGTTCCTTAGCTTCCCAAAGTAGAAATCTCTCTCTCCAAATCTTCGACAGTGAGTTTCAATACATTGACCTGCTGCATCAATTCAGCTGCTTCATCATCCGCATTGCCCACGCCAGGATTCTTTTGCACCACACCCAGGCCAGCCTTGCACGTTGCAGTAGTTGTGTGTTGCCATGGGCCTCTATGGGCTGCGCTGCTAGTGCTGAGAGGTTTCTTCGGTTTGTTCAGAGCTGGAGCAACAAGGGAGGGAGACACTGCAATTTCTTGGCCTTGTCTGGCAGCTACAGGACCATAGTCTTTTCCATCATAGTTTGCATCAAAAACTTTCTTGAACAACTGAACGAATTCAAAATTGTCCTGAAACTTTCCTTTCACTAATTTGTCCACAGGAATTATTTTGTCAACAACCATCCTCTTAAAACCTGCTTGTAGTATTTTGAAGTTCTGGATATATTCATGTTCTAGTTTTGCTTGGAATTTCACTTTCTTCAAAGCAATGGAGCCAGGGAACAGCATGTCCATAAACTGACAATAGGCAGCCCCTGAGCACAGCTGTTCGATCTTTGTCAGATTCAACTGAAGATGCGCGTTGATCCAGTCCGGCATGTCATGTCGACTTAGGTTATCGCTGGTGACCGACGTTGAGTACACGGTCACTGCCATCTTCAGCTCTTGGTGGGACCACGTCCACGGCCCGTGCCCAGCTCTGGTTCTGTCCCCAAATGGACTCTTTGGAGTGTAGTGCCAGCAAGGCGCAGGAGCCAGGTCTCTATGCACCTGGGCAGATGGGTAAAGGGGAGTCCTGGAGCCCTCGGTGGCATTTTCAAGCTTTAAATGATCTTTCTACACCTGTAGTGAGGCAACCAGGTGCAGGGCAGGCAGGGGGTCCGAGGGGCCAGGAGGCTGGCAGGCCTCCCAGTTCCCAGCAAATGTTTACTGTTTCTGAGCTCTCTGGACTCTCGTGGTCTCCCTGCTGGTCTCTGCTACACTCCGCCGCATGGTCCTCCAGTGCTGCGTCCTCTGTAATGCCACCCTTATATGCTCAGTCTCTCAGCTTAGGTGCACCCACTGCGCAGCCCACGCCACACTCCAGGTGCCACCATGTAAGACCGCAGGTGTTGATCATTGATGCTAATGGTGGGAGGGTGGAAAAATCTGATCACTTCCATTTATCCTACAGGTAGGCCTCACTGTCTAATGATGTCCAAGTGACTCTGCTGGGTCTGGACAATCAATTAAGATAGGACCAAGCAGACCTGTGAACCTGGATGAAAGTAGCTGCCATCCTTTCTGAGGCCTGCCTGTTGCTTCCCTCCCCAGCCACCATGGGATTTTGCATGTACACTATTACCAGCTCAGCTCTTCTTAGAGATTCTAGCTTCTTGCAAAAGAATTTAACAAGGAGACATGACAGACTACAACCAGACAAGGTTTTTTAGACTTATGTTCATGTACAAGGGAGGTAGCATCAAAAGAGAAATTTCCTGGCTGGCTTCCCTAAAGGGAACTAGGAAAAGGTGTTTTGTTTGTTTTTTTAAGATTTATTTATTTATGTATACAAGAACTGAGGTGTAGGCCAAAGGTACGGGGGTGGGGGGGCGTTGAGAGGGTTTACCGGAGACAGAGTGGGGAACAGAACAGGCAGACTGACCAAAGTACACTGCTGAGGGGAGCAGCCGGTGAGTCAGGAGAGGTCTGCTGTGCCACGTGGGTAGCTCCCTGGCAGGGATCAAACTCATCCTATAGTGACTGCCAATAACTTCACAGTGCTGAGATTTAACCCCTTGTGCCACCAGGGCAGCTCCTAGCTGGGGTTATTTCTTTCTCCAAAAATGTTATAAAGAGGGCCTCCCTGGTGGCACAAGGGGTTAAGACGTAACCTATGAAGCTATCTGCAGCCACTGCAGCACGAGTTCGATCCCTGGCCAGGGAGCTATCCACATGGCATAGCAGACCTCTCCTGACTCGCTGGCTGCTCCCCTCGGCAGTGTATTTCAGTTGATCTGCCTGTTCTGTTCCCTACTCTGTCTCTGGTGAATCCTCTCACCCCCACAACTCTGGCCTGTACCCCAGTTCTTGCATGTATAAATAAAAATAAATCTTTAAAAATGGTATAACAAAATGAAGTTGAAGAGTGACTCGAGGACCTTTTTTGAATTCCTATCACAGGTACTGTGCTCTGTAGACAATACGTATTATAAGAAGGTTTTTAAGGAGTTCATTTACCAGGGCAGAATAGAAGGGAGTTAAGTGTATAAAGGTAACAGAAACCAAAGTTTTATTATGAAACTGTGCTGCCCCCTCGAGTGCAAGCATACACAGGGCAGGTTCACTGTCAATTTGAGTCAGATAAAAAGAGTCCTGGAGCCCTGGATAGATTTTACAGGATTTAATGCTCTCTCAGGGAACCAGGCACACAGCCGCACCAGGCAGAGGCTGGCATGCAAGAAGGCAAGCACAGGCCAGGCAGGGGGTCTGGGAGGCAGGTAACTGAGCACCACCCCCCCACACCGCACCTCCCCACACACACATCTTTACATTTTCCCTGGCTTCTCTCTGGAGTTCTCTCCCGCACTCTTCCGCTCAGTCTCAGGTTGTCTCAGAATGGTCTCAGAATCGTCCTCTCAGTGCTGCCTTTATCCCTCCCCTCTAGGCACAGGTGTGAGCATTCACACATGCGCACCACATGCCTGTGCTCTTTGGGCTCAAGTGCCCATACTCACAGGTGCATGTGCCCCATACTCACACTCACAAGCACTTATTGCATAGGCCGCAGATGGCGGCTGTAGAAACTAGCAAGGGGGAGGTGGAAAAGAGCCTGACTGTAGCAGGGGGGTCCCCAGGAAAGGGGGAGGTTCCAGGTTCCCTGCCCCACCCAAATGGAGGGTGGAGCTGAGCATGGAGAGAAGAAGCTGCAGAGGAGACTGATGAAGGAAGGAAGCAGGATGGAGCCAGAAGGAGACCTGGAGGAGGTGCATGGAGCCGAGAGACACGTGAAGAAACTGCGCTTGCCTTTTGGTCGTGGACTGGGTGACACAGATGTGGGGGAGACCCGTGGGGAGGTGACAATGGCGGTTTTTATTTTGATTTTGCTCTTTTCCCTCCAGACTTGTCTGGTTGTTTCTGACCCTTTTCTGTGGGTCCCCACTGGAGGATGCTTTAGACTTGGGGCAGGCTTTGGGGCCTTGCTCTGGGCCAATCCCGTTTAGATGGACTTTTACCCAGAGGGGACGGGTAACTTTAGGTGCTTGATTTAGAAACTAGATTCTTTGTCTTTTCTGTCTTGTTTCCTAGTTGTATTAAAGTTCCTTCCCATTAAATTCTCATATGTTTTGTGTTGATGCAGCAGATGGCAGAACCTATTTAAAGCAGGCAGGTTTGTGGGGTCTGGAGTGCCCCTCTCCTTGCCCTGTAACATGACCACTCCATTTACCCTACACTCCCTGTCACAGTGTATTTGGGACTGGATTATACTGGGGTTATTTGCAGATGGATTACTTCTTCATGTCACATGTCCCGATCTCCATCCTGGTGTGTGTTTTGGCATGCTGTTGGCAAACCATTCCATACCAGGCAGTTTCATGGCAAATAAGGGTAAACAGAAAAGAATTTTGGAGGCTTAGTATATCTGACACGGTTTTTTTTTTTTTATTTTAAAGATTTATTTATTTATTTATACAAGCACTGGGTACAGTCAGAAGCGCGGGAGGGTGAGAGAATTCACCAGAGCCAGAGCAGAGAGCAGAACAGGCAGACTGACGAAGTACACTGCTGAGGGGAGCAGCGGGTGGCAGGAGAGGTCTGCGCACCATGTGGGACTCTCACCTGGGGATCAAACCGGCGCTGCAGAGGCTGCGGGCAGCCTCGTAATCCAGCGCTCAACTGTTGTGCCACAGGGGAGGCCCTATCTGACACGACTTTAATGCTGAAGCAGGGGACCAAACACAGGCAGACCAGCAGTCAGGCAGCACCCCCCTCGATCTCCCATGATGTCTCCCATGATCCCTGCAATCTCTCAGCCCTGATGTCCGTATTTATAGGTGCTCGTGCTCCTTAATCATGCACCTAAGTACTTCCATATAACAATACATTATCATGTGTGGGTAAAGAAACCTAGGAGGAAAGCAAAGCTGCAGGTGACGGCTACAGAGGCTAGTAGCAGGAAGGCAGAAAACGCCTGAGCCATTCCTTGTTCTTATACGTGCCGATGAAACTTGGTCACTGTAGGGTAAAGAAAATATCAGGCTTTTCTGCCCTTCCGCCATCAGGATAGATGGCGGATCCTTGTCCTGAATGCATGTCTGATGGCGGGCACCTGGAGTAGGGTGTGGGCATAGGTAGATGGGATTCAGCTGAGCTAAGACTGCTTTTAAGGGCGGCGTCACGGGGACGCCAGGAGCAGCAGTAGAAGCCGAAGCAGAAGCCGGAGGAGAAGCCGAGAAGCAGCAGAACGAACGCTAGAGAGCCCAGATAGAGTGAAGACTTGCCTCCCAGCCAGCACCCCTGCCTGCCATATGCCTGGTGAACCCCAATAAAAAACCTGCAAAACTACTAAGGACTCTGACTCCTCCTTTACCCGGTCTGCATGGGATCGGAGAACCTGCACTGTGTCCTGTCCTGCCTTTACAGTCACTCTCATTCAAGATTTTTATGATCTATGTATGTGGGCCCTTGGCTAGTCCCCCTTCTAGGAAATGCTACTGCTATTAGTTATATAAAACAAGGCTTTCATCAGAATATATGGCACCTCCTGTCAAGATATGGTGCCAGAATGGTCAGGATGGGGTACCATCTGTCAGGATGTGGCCATTTGTTAGTGTGGTGGGTTAAAACAAGATGTTAAGCAGCTCCTGCCAGCTGTGATGTAGTCCATCTGTTCAGGCAAGATATTTGGCAACTCCTTTCTGCCAGCTTGCAATTTAATTCACCTAGGCTGTCTGACTATTTCAAGGTAAAAATCTCTCTGACCACAAGGATCACCAGCAGCTGAGCAAGCCTGCTCGGAGAAAAGACAACAAAAGGGAGGCAGCTCGGCCTTCAGTTTAGGGAAATTAGCCCCAGCCTCTGACAATACCCAACTCCACATCTATTGAGGTCTGAGTAAGTCTCACAAAACCTCTGCTCTTGCCAATTTCAGTATCAGTTTTCTATCGCCTCAATAATAGTAAGGAATTTGACCGCACTTGGTTGCCTCCCCCTCTCTAATTTCAGATGGCAATCAGAAGCTCCCAGATCCTCTATTGATTAATTTGCTAGAGCTGATGTCGGTCTGGAGATGTTGGGTGCAGAGAGCAGGGTCCTTGAGTTAACTGAGAAAAGTTTCACCAGAGCTTCCCTTTCAGCGGCACATAGTAAGTTTTCCCAGTCAGGATTCCCCACAAGGCAGAGACATCTAGTTATATTTGAAAGGGCAGGCAGATTATAACAAGGGAAGGGAAGTAAAGGACACTTGCACGGACATAAAAGCTGCCCCTGAAAAAGACAGGTTTGTTAAAAGAGGCCTGCAGCCTCTTTTAACATGTTTGTTAAAAGAGGTGGGCAGCCTTGGGGGAGAGCTGCCTCTGCTGCTTGGCAAAGGGGGAAGATTGGTGTGTTACAGGGCAACCCCAGTGTGAAATGGGTTGGCCTGTGTCCTCACCCTTGCAATTATAAGGGCTTTATAA